AACTCTCAATGAAAGCACCAATGTTGGTGTCAAAACCGGCGGATCTCGGGTAGGGGGTCCCGAACTGTGCGTCTAAGGCGGATGGTAACAGGAGGCAGGGGACACAATGTTTACCCAGGTTCGGGCCCTCTCGATGGAGGTAATACCCTACGTCTTGCTTGATTGATCTTGATGATATGAGTATTACAAGAGTTGATCTACCACGAGATCATAGAGGCTAAACCCTAGAGGTTAGCCTATGATTATGATTATTCTTATCCTACGGACTAAACCCTCCGGTTTATATAGACACCGGAGGGGGCTAGGGTTACACAGAGTCGGTTACAAGGGAGGAGATCTACATATTTGAACTGCCAAGCTTGCCTTCCACGCAAAGGAGAGTCCCACCCGGACACGGGACGAAGTCTTCAATCTTGTATCTTCATAGTCCAACAGCCCGGCAGAAGGATATAGTCCGGATGTCCGAGGACCCCCTAATCTAGGACTCCCTCACTTATCACACCCGATCATCACATGGTGTCTTGGCACGACGAACTTTGGCATTGGTGCATACTCAGGGAGAACACTTTTACCTTGAAATTTAGTGAGAGATCATCTTATAATGCTACCGTCAAACAAAGCAGAATAAGATGCATAGTGGATAAACATCACATACAATCAATATAAGTGATATGATATGGCCGTCATCATCTTGTGCCTTTGATCTCCATCTCCAAAGCATCGTCATGATCACCATCATCACCGGCGCGACACCTTGATCTCCATCGTAGCATCGTTGTCGTCTCGCCAACTATTGCTTCTACGACTATCGCTACCGCTTAGTGATAAAGTAAAGCAATTACAGGACGATTGCATTGCATACAATAAAGCGACAACCATATGGGTCCTGCCAATTGCCGATAACTCTGTTACAAAACATGATATTCTCATACAATAAATATAGCATCATGTCTTGACCATATCACATCATAACATGCCCTGCAAAAACAAGTTAGACGTCCTCTACTTTGTTGTTGCAAGTTTTACGTGGCTGCTACGGGCTGAGCAAGAACCGTTCTTACCTATGCATCAAAACCACAACGATAGTTTGTCAAGTTAGTGTTGTTTTAACCTTCTCAAGGACCGGGCGTAGCCACACTTGGTTCAACTAAAGTTGGAGAAACTGATACCCGCCAGCCACCTGTGTGCAAAGCACGTCGGTAGAACTAGTCTCACGTAAGCGCACGCGTAATGTCGGTCTGGGCCGCTTCATCCAACAATGCCGCCAAACCAAAGTATGACATGCTGGTAAGCAGTATGACTTGTATCGCCCACAACTCACTTGTGTTCTACTCGTGCATATAACATCTACGCATAAACCTGGCTCGGATGCCATTGTTGGGGAACGTAGTATTTCAAAATTTTCTTACGCACACACAAGATCATGGTGATGCATAGCAACGAGAGGGGAGAGTGTCGTCCATGTACCCTCGTAGACCGTTAAGCGGAAGCATTATAACAACGCGGTTGATGTAGTCATACGTCTTCACGATCGACCGATCCTCAACACCGAACGTACGACACCTCTGTGTTCAGCACACGTTCAGCTCGGTGATGTCCCGCGAACTCACGATCCAGTAGAGCTCGGGGAAGAGTTTCATCAGCACGACGGCGTGGTGACGATGTTGATGAAGCTACCGACGCAAGACTTCGCCTAAGCACCACTACGATATAACTGAGGTGGATTATGGTGGAGGGGGGCACCGCACACGACTAAGAGATCAACAGATCAATTGTTGTGTCTTTGGGGTGCCCCTACCCCCGCATATAAAGGGGGGAGGACGAGAGGGCCGGCCAGGGAAGAGGCGCGCCCAAGGGGGGGCAATCCTACTCCAAGTAGGTTTGCCCCCTCCCTTTCCTATTCCAAGAAGGAGAAGGGGAAAGGAGGAGGTGGAGAGAAGGAAGGAGAGGGGGGCCGCCGCACCTTCTCCTTGTCCAATTCGGATTGGGGCAAGGGGGGCCATGCGCCACCTCCTGGCTGCCCTCTCTCTTCTCCACGAAGGCCCATAAGGCCCAATAGCTTCCCGGGGGGTTCCAGTAACCCCCGGTACTCTGGTATATGTCTGAAACCTCCCGGAACCCTTCCGGTGCCCGAACATAGTCATCCAATATATCGATCTTTATGTCTCGACCATTTCGAGACTCCTCGTCATGTCCGTGATCATATCCGGGACTCCGAATTACCTTCGGTACATCAAAACACAAAAACTCATAATATCGATCGTCACAAAACTTTAAGCGTGCGGACCCTACGGGTTCGAGAACTATGTAGACATGACCGAGACATGTCTCCGGTCAATAACCAATAGCGGAACCTGGATGCTCATGTTGGTTCCTACATATTTTACGAAGATCTTTATCGGTCAAACCGCATAACAACATACGTTGTTCCCTTTGTCATCGGTATGTTACTTGCGCGAGGTTTGATCGTCGGTATCTCAATACCTAGTTCAATCTCGTTATAGGCAAGTCTCTTTACTCGTTCCCTAATCCAACATCCCGCAACTAACTCATTAGTCACATTGCTTGCAAGGCTTATAGTGATGTGCATTATCGAGAGGGTCCAGAGATACCTTTCCGACAATCGGAGTGACAAATCCTATTCTTGATCTATGCCAAATCCACGAACACCATTGGAGACACCTTAAAGCACCTTTATAATCACCCAGTTATGTTGTGACGTTTGGTAGCACACAAAGTGTTCCTCCGGTATTCGGGAGTTGCATAATCTCATAGTCATAGGAACATGTATAAGTCATGAAGAAAGCAATAGCAGTAAACTTAAACGATCAAGTGCTAAGCTAAAAAAATGGGTCAAGTCAATCACATCATTCTCCTAATGATGTGATCCCGTTGATCAAATAACAACTCATGTGTATGGTTAGGAAACTTAACCATCTTTGATCAATGAGCTAGTCAAGTAGAGGCATACTAGTGACACTATGTTTGTCTATGTATTCACACATGTATTATGTTTCCGGTTAATACAATTCTAGCATGAATAATAAACATTTATCATGAAATAAGGAAATAAATAATAACTTATTATTGCCTCTAGGGCATATTTCCTTCAGTATGCCAGCGCCTTGTGGAGTGTGCGGCCGAGGATGCCCCACTAGATGCGATGCCCGTCGCTATTCTTCACGCCGCCCACCACCGGCGCCCCTTTCGTGGACGCCAGCTGCTGCGCCTGCCGGCGCTGGAAGTACGCCGCCCATGACGCGTGGTTGTCGGCGGCGTACTAGGGAGGGCGCGTTGCTCCTCCGCCAGAGACGCCCGCACGCGGTCAACCTTGGCGGCGAAGATGCCGGGGCGCGCATCGACGTCGGGCACCGGGGGGATAGGGACACCCCCGTTGCTGAGCCTCCACCCCGTCGGCCCGACGCGCATGTCCGGCGGCGCCGGGATGTTGGCCTTGAACAGGAGGTACGCCTCCCACTCCTAGAGCGAGCGACGGCCGAAGCCGTTGGCCGCTGCCGCGTCGCCGGGGAAGCGCTCGGCCATCGCTGAGGGAAGGGAAGGGGAGGAAGGGGAGATAGGCAGAGCTCGGCGGCGGACGGGAGAGAGGCAAAGATCGACAGCTGGTTTTGGGCTCGGGCTGGTGCGGCCAGCGGCGAGGGGAAGCCGCTGGTTTTATAGCTCCCCGTCGTGTGTACACATGGCAAGAGGGAAGGCGTCGCCGCGCCACCCGTGAGGAATCAATGGCAAGGCTGACCGGCGGCAGCCTTGCCATTGATTCCCTGGGGGAAACCGAGGCGTTTTGGGGGAAGACGAGGCGCGGTGTCGCTGATGCTACTGGCCCACGGCTCTTTCGCGCCAAAACCGCTCGCCCCGGCGCTCCCGAGCGCGCCGGGTTCGGCCTGGGTCCGCCGGCGCCAGTTTCGGCCCAAACCGGCGAAAAACAGGCTCCTGGGGACGCGACTGGGCCGATTTTTGTGCGTCGACACGGAAAAAACGCATGGGAAGGGCCTGTTAGGGGCGCGGCTGGAGATGCTCTAAGTGCATGTACAATGCATAGCCTCAAGGTGATGCCTCACATGCCATGTAGGATTGGATATGACGTAAAGTAGGTTCGGATAGGGAAGCGGGATCCTCTCCAAGAGGTGGGTGCTTGAAAAGAAAAAATGTGGTCCGATGACAGAAGCTGAAAAGGTTGGAGTGAAAAGTAGAGATGTATGAGTACTAGAGTCTTTATTTTCTATTTCTTAATGAGACCCATTAAAGCATGTACAATGAGGGCAGCACCACACCGCTGCCCCAACGTTTCACGTAGATAAAAGTAACTAAAGCCACTGTCTAATTCTACCTTCGTCCAATGAAAGCAGTGGTATTGTTCTCAGGGTTGGCAGCCTTTTCCTATTCACCATAGAGTAGGCTTGTCCTGTTAAAGTTAGTACGGTGATGTCCAACCCTCCCTCATTGGCAGCGTCTGCACTTTTGTCAGGGGAGAGCCGGCCTCTTCTGCAGGATCCCACTTATCTCTGCAAGCTACACCTTTTGCTAAGCTCGGCTATCCGAACCTACATGGCGTGCTAGAGCATCTGTCCATATTGGAGCATTGGCCATGCCCTTAGTGATTACTTGCATTGGAGAGAAAAAGTTAATGTAGATATCTCAAATTACTTTTTATCATGAGGCATATGTATCTATACGTCATCATTGTACGTGCTCTAAGCACAACACCCTTGTAGTGTCAACGTGTAGGCAAAGCTGCGATGACGCAGAATGAACTTGTCCGTATGCGCAAGTTGACAAGTGACACGCCATCGGCCCATTCTTTACTCTCTCTCTCTCTCTCTGATGCACCAGCAGGTCACTCACACCATATCGCCACTGCCCACTGTTGGGTAGCCCTCGTCTAATCTCCTCATCGGATCAGAAGAATCCCAGCGAACCCAGGGAAAGAAGACTCCCTCCGAGTCCCGTCCGAGACGCAGAGTGCCAGCTCCGACTCCGAGCGGATGGCGTCGCCGCCGGAGGGGGTGGAGCCGGCGGTGATCCACGCGTGGTCGGCGCCGCGCTCCCTCAGCACCAGCCTCATGTATTCCTTCTCCGAGGTGAGAGAGCCTCGCCTCCGCCCCAATCCTCCTCCGCACGCGCGAATCGACCTCTCGCCACTTCCTTATTAGCTCCGCCTGCGAATTCCGAGGGAGAACACGTACGGGAGAGGAGATTAGGGGCGTCCAAACCCAATGCTCGTGTGTTTATTAATGCAACCCGTTTCGCCCTGAATAACACTGCAACTTGTGGCTTATTAATGCAACAAGTAGATTAAGCCGCTTACAGCTAAAAATCGTCACGCCCGCTCTCCCTGTTGGTACACGACATGTCGAATTTTTTTTAACTCTCTATCTTTCCTTTTGCCTTGCTCCAGAGGGATGACATGGATGTGCTTGACGAGCCTCTCTACGCTAATTTCCTGCGTGTCACTGGTGTTGACAGGCCCTACCGCCAGGAGCTTCTCTCTAAAATGGTAAGACTTGAACCATGCTTGAGTTGTCTGTTGTTATAGCCATAAATGATTTGCTGCTGTTATTCACCCAATGCCACAGTGACCTCGATTGATCCGGAATCAGGGTTTGGTTTGAGCCAATGAGCTGGTTGAGAAATGGGAAACTGGTTTTTGGTTATACGTACTCCCTCCGTTCCAAATTACTCGTCGCAGAAATGGATGTATCTAGAACTAAAATACATCTAGATACATCCATACCTGCGACAAGTAATTCGGAACGGAGGGATTACTTTATATAGACTGCACTATCTTTATATGGATTTTCATCCTTCTTTTTCCCTGAAAGACGGCAGGAGCTCTTTATGTAGATGCTACTAATTGAACATATATTAATTTGGTGTCGAGTTATTGTCTGGCTTTAGGACCATTTAAGAGGAAAATTCTCATTGTCTTATTAATCCATTTCCATTTAATGTGGAAAATGCTGTGGTGCACCATATTCCTGTTTACATCTCTTGCATACCGTCAATTCTGATAATACTATGTGAATGCTGCCTTGTGTATAGTTCAGACATTTGAGCATTTCCAGTGCAGGATCCAGATGGCAACAAAGTTGTCAAAGAAGTGATTTTTGGACCAGGAGAGAAAGCATATCGTTACTGCAAGGTGCAACTTCAATTCTTAAAGTGTCAGCGCATACCTCTATAGATTAATTATTACGCCATTATTCATTGCTCTCTTGATTATTTTTCATGTGTAGCACATTGCGAAGCAGCGCCTCCCTAATCTCACAGGTGACCTGATGAAGAAGGGAAAACATTTCATATTAATACGTAACCCTATGAATATCCTGGTATGTGCCCCCCATTTCTCTGTGTAACACTCATGCATGTTCCTAATTTCTTGCTAATTCAGCACGAGCTACTCTTTCCCTATGCTTTGCATATTCGAAACATATAACCTCCTGATAATAGCAATCCATATACCTCAGCCATCATTTGATAAAGTTGTTCCACCATCCTTCCTGGAGCTCGGTGTAGCAGAACTTGTTGCAATATACAGTGAGTTGTGTGAGCTTGGGAGCCCTCCACCTGTGATAGATGCAGATGATCTCCGAAGAGATCCTGAGGTAAATCTGTTATTGGTTGTCTGAATGGTTTTATCTTTGTGGTGATTATCCATCGCACCAAATAATAATATAAATGTATGCATATGATCTGCGGTTACTGTTTGGTAGGTTGCTTGGAAGAATCTGGCATTGAAATCCTCAAGCTGCCCACCCCTAGCTCCCCTCTCCCCTCCTCCCTGCCATGGAGGCCCCAAGCGACGCCTCCGCCGACCGCCGGGCGACCCTCTCCGGCGAGCGCGTGTCCTCAGTTGACCGCTGGCTCAGCTCGGAGAGCGAGTCCTCGGCGCGTTCCTTCCGGGACGTCGTGCTCATCCCGCCGGCACCCGCTGCGCCGCCGGCGACCAGGGGCCCTAGCCGCACCTCGCCGGCCGCCCGCGTGCCCGCCAGGCAGCGCCTCGGCCCCCGCTCGGAGATCCACCGCGTTTCCGGCGGTGCCGCTCTCGACGCGGACGGGTTCCAGCAGTCACGCCGCAAGAACAGACACCGCCGGCCGAACCAGGCCAATTGGGCCAAACGGGGCCGGGCCGCTACATGCTGTACCTGACCCCCAAGCCATGTCTTCCATGGAGGCTGTTGCCGGGCCAGTGGCCGTTGGGGCACAGGAGGCCGAGGCCCAGAGGACAGTTTCGATCCTGCAGCGACCCTGGGGATCCTCCACGCCGGCGCCCAACACTGATCAGCGATCGCCTGTACCTGAACCACGCTCTCCGGCATCTGGACGGTTCGCCTCGCCGCCGATCACGATGCGGCGATCTCGCAGCCGCACAACCACGCAGCAGGTTTGGACGCTTGGCGAGTTTCTGGCCGCGGCCACGAAGCACATCAGCGCGTCGCTGCCGACTCCCGGGAAGCGGCCACGTCGTCCCCTCTGCTTTGCCCCACGGCGAGGACGCTCCGCGATTGCGGCCACACCCCTGGCGGCGCCGCCGACGGCTGAACGGAGGGCGCGCGTGCAGATCCTCCGCAACCTGGGGATTGTAGGCACCAACCAAAAGATCACAGCCATCGAGATGAAGGCCTACGACGACATGTTCGCGGCACCAATCCCCCTGTCCGTGCTGAAGTCAATCGCTGCCCTGGTCGATCGGGAGATCCCAGCGTGCTTCGCCTCCCCCACGCGCACGGCCGCGGCCGCTGCCGGCGACAGCTAGGCCCGCAGGCCATCCATCGTCGACCTCCTGTTCATGGATCACGAACTAAAAATCGCGGTTTGGAATGTACGCAGCCTCAACTCGCGTGCACGACGTTGTGCCATCCGCTCTCTGTTGGGCACTACCGGAGCATCCATTGTATGCATTCAGGAAACTAAGATGGCTTTGATCTACTCGCCCATTGTGCTTGACATTCTCGGCTCCGAGTTTGACGACTACACGTACCTGCCGGCTGATGGCACGCGGGGCGGTATCCTTCTAGCCTGGAAGAGCAGGGCTATCACGATCTCCGATCCGTTGCTCACCCAGAATGCGCTCACGGCCAAGGTATCCGTGGCCTCTGGGACGCCGTGGTGGCTCACGACGGTCTACGGACCCCAAGATGACGCGGATAAAATTCTGTTCCTCCAGGAGCTGCGCGACATTCGGGCGGCATGCCCCGGCCCATGGATGCTATGTGGTGACTTCAACCTCATATACCGCACGGAGGACAAAAACATGGGTGGCCTGCACCAGCGCATGATGGGAAGGTTTCGCCGCGCCATCAACGACCTCGCCTTGAAGGAGATCTATCTCAACGGGCGTCGCTTCACGTGGTCGAATGAGCAATCGCCGCCCACGCTAGTGCACCTTGACCGCGTCCTTTGCACATCGGACTGGGAGGATGCGCACGGCGAATGCCATCTCCGGTGCCTTGCTTCGGTCGTGTCGGACCACTGTCCGCTGCTGCTGGATTGCTCCCCCATGCCGGTGGCGCACAAACGCTTCCACTTTGAGGACTATTGGCTTAGGCTTGACGGCTTCCACGACACCGTTGCCGCGGCTTGGAGCTCCGCGCATGACGACGACCCTTTCCGGCGGCTGGTCAAGCGTCTCCAGGCCACTGCTCGACGCTTATCGAGTTGGAGCGCCAAGTCCACGGGCAACATACGGGAAAAGCTGGCCATATCCCGCGAGCTGATCTTGCGCTTCGACAAAGCACGGGAGGACCGGGCGCTCTCCCCTCCGGAGGAATGGCTCCGCAAGCAGCTCAAGGTCGCCTACCTCGGCATGGCATCCTTGGAGCGCACAATCGCCAGGCAGCGCGCCCGTATCGCGTCTCTCAAGGACGGCGACGCCAACATGAGCTTCTTCCACCGGCAATGCTCCTATCGGCGACAGAAGAACCGCATATACAGCCTTGCCGTCCACGGGCATGTGCTCACGGCTCATGAGGAAATGGCCAACGCAGCGTTCTCGCATTTTGATGGCCTGCTGGGCACCGCTGTGGACCGGGCGCACACGCTGGATCTCTCCCAGCTCATTGAGCCCAGCGACCTTGCATGCCTAGACGTGCCCTTCAGCCAGGAGGAGATTTGGGAGGCGGTCAAACGCATGCCGGCGCGTAAAGCGCCTGGACCGGATGGATTCACCGCGGAGTTTCTGCGTGCCTGCTGGAGCATCATTCGCCATGACATATGGGACGTTTTCGAGCTGCTTTACACGCTGCGCGGCCGCGGGTTCAGCAAGCTTAACCAAGCGCTGCTGACCCTGCTGCCTAAGCGCGCGGACGCCCACACGCTTGGTGACTACCGGCCGATATGCCTGATCCACATTGTGGCCAAGATCGTCTCGAAGGTCCCGTCGTTGCGCCTCGCCCCCAAGCTGGATACCCTTGTAAGCAGCAACCAAAATGCATTCATTGCCGGGCGCAGCCTCCATGACAACTTCGTCCTAGTCCGGCAGTCCCTCAAGATGCTGCACCAACTTGGCGCACCCAGGATCATGCTCAAGCTCGACCTCACACGTGCCTTCGACTCCATCTCGTGGCCCTTCCTCTTTGAGGTGCTGCGCAAGTATGGATTTGGGGACCGATTCCGGGAGTGGATGGCCATTCTGCTCTCCTCGGCAAGCACGCGGGTCATGATCAATGGAGTTCCCGGCCCGCCAATCTGGCACCGGCGCGGCCTACGACAAGGTGACTCCACCTCCCCACAACTCTTCGTGCTGGCGGTGGACACCCTTGGGAGGCTGATGCGACACGCCCTACAGACCGGCATCCTTCAGCAGCTGCATCCCCGACGAGCCATCCCGGCGATCTCTCTTTACGCCGATGATGTGATGATGTTCTGCCATGCCACTACTGAGGAGATCGCCGCTGTCAAAGGCATCCTGGACGTGTTCGGTACGGCTTCTGGGCTCCGTGTGAACTACGCCAAGAGCTCGGCCACGATCCTTCACGCCGGCGACTACGAAGTGGGGCTGCTGGAGCCACTCGGGTGCCCCGTCATGGCCTTGCCGGTTACTTACCTGGGCATCCCGCTCTCCACTCACCGCCCATCCGCAGCACAGCTGCAACCCCTCGTCGACGCGGTGGCGGGCCGGCTGCCTTCCTGGAAAGCTTGGCTGATGAACAAAGCGGGACGGCTAGCTCTCGTCAAATCGGTGCTTAATGCAATACCGATCCATCAACTGCTAGCGCTTGCGCCCCCAAGGAAAACCCTGAAGCAATTAGAGAAGATTCAGCGCGGGTTTCTTTGGGCCGGCCGCGCGGATGCCCACGGTGGACATTGCCACGTCAACTGGCGTAAGGTTTGCCGTCCGCTTGAATATGGCGGCCTTGGCATCCGGGACCTCGAGCGCACGGGGCTATCACTTCGGCTGCGCTGGCTATGGCTCACGCGCACGGACACTACTCGAGCCTGGCAGGGGCTGGACACGCAATTTACGACGGAGGAGCGTGCGCTCTTTTACGCCTCCACGACTATGGCCATTGGAGACGGCAGGACAGCCCTGTTCTGGGAGGATCGCTGGCTTGGTGGCCAATCCGTCCGCGAGCTTGCGCCTAGGCTCCTCAAGTGCATCCCCAAGCAACGTCAAAAATCTAGAACGGTGGCGGAGGCCCTGGCCGGCAATAGTTGGGCACGTGACATCCATGGCCTGCTAGGCCTCCCGGAGATTGGACAGTACCTTCAGCTCTGGCACTTAGTGCAACATGTCGAGCTGTCCAATGAGCCGGACAGGCTGCTCTGGAGCTGGACAGCCAGCGGCGTCTACACCGCCCAGTCTTTCTACCGGGCAACTTTCCAGGGCGCGACGGGCTGCCACTCCTGGAAGCTCATTTGGAGGAGCTGGGCACCGTCCAAGGTGAAATTCTTCCACTGGCTGGCATGTCAAGATCGCTGTTGGACCGCGGAGAGACTCGCACGCCGTGGCCTGCAACATCACCCGCGGTGCCTTCTGTGCGATCAGGAACCGGAGACGATCGGGCATCTGATGCTCACATGCCCATTCACTAAGCAGACATGGCAGGAGGTCTTATCTTGGCTGCGCTTGCCGGCGCCGGCGCCCGAGCACGACGGCTCGCTCATGGATTGGTGGCTGCGCGCAAAGGAATACACACCACCAGCGCTCCGCAAGGCGCTCAAATCTGTGGCACTTTTGGTACCGTGGATGATCTGGAAGCATAGAAATGCGTGTGTTTTCGACCATGTGAACCCATCGCTGAACGAGCTTGTAGACAGGATCAAAGACCAGATGTTGGGCAAAGGCTGGAGCTCAAGGGCTCAGGGTCGTTTTGCCATCATCCTGGGACGTGCACTGAGCCTCTGTTGTCTGTGTGTACTAACCGCCTCCTACGAGGATGTAAATACCCTCTCTTTCCAATGCAATGAAACGCAAAGGCCATTTGCGTTTTCTCGAAATCCTCAAGCTATTAGGATATTTACCAAATGGAAAATTTTGAGTTTGTTCATAAATCATCTATTATTATCGTGTAGCAGTGCCTTGAAGGGCCTGATAGTGCAGCTTCAAACTATTAGGATTACTAAACACCGAACTGGTAAATTTGAATTCACTTCAGTTTTTATGGTTTGCAATCATGATGTATGCAGTAGTTTCCATGTTTATTACATTTAAACATTTTAATGCATGAAGGCATTTTAATGGTAATAACATTGCTTCACTGTATAATAACTACATTTGCAAAATGCAATCCAATTCAATGCAGTTTGTTTACCCGTCCAATGCAGGCCGTCTTGAGTGGACTCTGTGAGGACCTGGGTATTCCTTTCCAGCCACAAATGCTCAAGTATGCGGGTTGTGCATAAGAATTAAATAGGTTTCATTGTCCTAGTTTTTCGCTTAGAGCACACATAGTAAGAAGGTGGTGTGCTTTCTTAAACCATTTGGATTGCTTCTAACTTGTAGATGGAAAGCTGGCCCAAGGGACTTTGATGGTATTTGGGCCCCCTGGTGGTATGAAAGTGTACATACATCTACGGGCTTCTCGAAATCCCGTCGTTACCCTATGGTAAGCATGCATCAAACGTCTCTCTCTTGATTTCCAGTAATTTATTAGTACTTCTATGCTAGCTAACTTTGCATATTTAGTCAGTCATACTTGTATCAGAAAGGACATACTAAAAAACATGGACACAAAGGCTGCGTTTGACATTGCGATGGATTCTCATAATCACGTTTATCCCACCCGCTTTTCCTATTTGAGAGTTTGTTTGACCTGCTTTCGCCTATTTCCATGTCAAGTTTTCCACAGCAGATTATAAATAAGCACAACACAGAACAGTTCAGCAACCAAAAACTAAGCCTAATAATTATTACCTCTGGCCATAAAGCCTTATTGTAGTTCCTTCAGGTGTACAGAGTAGCCGGTGTATTTATGAGAAGGTTAGGTATTGCATTTAACCCTTTTAATGAATCCCATTCCTTTTAAAAGAAGTTGTCTCCTAGACCCAACAAAGGGAAGAAGGTGAGAAAAACGGTACTTCAGCAGTTCTCCTATCACCTTCCTCATTTCAGGGGCGCCCCTATATCTTGCTCAGGATCGCGTTTGCTGGCTTTCTCGGTGTCCCCTATATTTTTTCTCATCTTTATGATAGATGGGACCAACATATATAATACTCCCTCCATTCCATATTATTTGACGTCCTGGCCTCAAACTCTTTTTTTTTAATTAATTGACGTCCTAGCGCACTACACTTAGCATTTTCCGCAAGTTTCCAAATTTGCCCCTCACTCTCTCTGGTCACCCCACTTCTCACACATTTCCCCTCCTCTGTTTCCAATTTTGGGGTGCTGGATTCGTTTTTAGGATTAGTAAGGGACAGCAAAGGGATTTTACCACTTTCCTAAATCTGTTCGATGTTTTCCAAAACGTCAATTAATACGGAACGAAGGACGTATATTTATCTAATTAGAGAGTAACATAGGGGATGATATTAGTTGGTTCTCCTGAAACTTGGGCAAAATTTACTGGAGGAATCTTTTTAGAGGAGCGCCTATATGGAGATATAGGGGTGTATTTTAGAAGAGCTGTTGGACTTGCTCTAGTTATCAAGATACAATTGACTTCATCTTGCTTCGATGTGCTTGGCAATTAAAACATGTCTTATTGTTAACATTGACCTTATTTGATTGCAGACTTTTCCATTTGCATTGTATGACCTACTTGAGCAAAGCTTGCCCTTCTACAATATGCTGAAGCGCCAGGTACGGAGAACAACAGGATCCCTGCTGCCACCACCGCCTGATCCTCCTCTTCCTGTACCAGAAAATAAAAAAATTCTTGTTTGGGTTGGAGATGAACTTTTGCCACGTGATAGTGCAAGGGTATGCACTCGTAACTTTTGCTATTTAATCAGCATTGCAACATTAAACTGGTCACACTTGATCAGTTCTCCCAATTCTTTTTTCTAATCATCTGTGATGTAAAGGTTTCAGTGTTTGATTCAGTTGTACAAGGAGGGGATGCTGTGTGGGAAGGATTGCGTATATATGATGGGAAAGTATTCAAACTTGAAGAACACTTGGATAGGTACAGTACTTCTATATTTTATTTGGCTTGCCATATCTTTTCTGCTTATGATCTACTATGCAGTAACCCTCTTTATTATTCTCTTCTAGATTGTTTGATTCTACAAAAGCTATGGCCTTCAGCAATGTGCCCAGTCGTGATTGGGTAACTACTTCTACTTACATGCTTCCCACTTGTTATTTATAGTATTGCAAGAAAGAACCATGTAGCTGCTTGTTTGGTAGGCATCTTTTTGTTTAGGTTTAAAATACTAATGTGTTTCCCAATTTTCATTTAAGAGGATTGCTGAAGGCTCACTTTGAAGTTTGAACTACTGAACTGAGTGTTTGGTATGCACGTGTTTTAATGCAGATTAAGGATGCAATATTTAAGACTCTTAACGCAAATGGGATGTTCAATAATGCACATATAAGGCTCACTCTCACCCGTGGGAAGAAGGTATTACTATAGATATAGATTCATTACTCATCAGTATTGTCACTTCCACTTTTCTACAGTGTGAGTTTGCAATCTTCTTCCCATGACCTACTTACCCGTTTTGTGCACTGCCTGCCTTAACTGTAGGTGACATCTGGAATGAGTCCAACTTTCAATCTATATGGGTGTGTCTTGATTGGTATTCACATTTTGATCCCACTTTTTTTTACTTGATTGTGTTTTTTGTGCTTAAATCTGTACATCATGTTTGTTATTTTCTGGTTTCTGACTAAATTATACTCCCTCCGTTCCTGAATATAAACCTTTTTAGAGATTCCAGTATGGACTACATTCATAGCAAAATGAGTGAATCCACATTCTAAAATATGTCTATATACATCCGCACGTAGTCTGCATTAGAATCTCCAAAAGGTCTTATATTTAGAAGCGGATGGAGTATTATCCTATTCTGTAATCATCTCTTGTGACTAGCAATCAGTGTTGGCGTGTAAGACCATACGAGTCGATTCACTGAGTTTCATCCAAAATATAATGACTCGTAAATGGTGACTGCCTGGTTGTGGTTTACTGTCGGCATGTTTGCTGTACTTTATTGTTTGAAATGATGTGGGCCGTTATGACTATTTGGTCCAGTCAATTGTCATTGGAAGACTAGGTTGACTTAATAATGGTAAGACCTTATATTTGGTCTTTTTCAGTACTTGCAGAGTGGAAACCACCAGTTTATGATAACTCACATGGGATAAAGTTGGTAACTGCCGCCACACGTCGTAATTCTCCAAATGTAAGACTCAGTACCTACTTCTTTACAATTTGGCTTTTGGTTTCTCATCTGTTCTATTTTTGTATGAAGCTTCTTTTATTATCTCTTTATTGAACAAATGTTGACCTTGGTTGTTTCCATGACTTGTTTCAGAGCGTAGATTCGAAGATACATCACAACAATCTTATTAACAACATTCTGGCAAAGGTCATTTATCTTAAGATTTGAAGCTCTAATCTAGCAAGCTCCTTGAATCTTATCTAAAATGAAGGCATTGGAAATTGCAATGGGCCTCAAACACTATTGCTTCTATGCAGATAGAAGGTAATCTTGCACAGGCTGAGGATGCTATCATGCTAGATCAAGATGGTTTTGTATCAGAAACAAATGCAACAAACATAGTACGTGCAATTAGGATCAGTTCAAATAGCTCAATATTCGCCATATGGTTTTCTTAAAGTGCTTGTGCATTAACTGCAGTTTATGGTTAAGAAGGGCATTGTATTGACACCTCATGCGGACTACTGCCTTCCAGGAATTACCCGTGCAACTGTAAGCCTATTCATCTTCCACCTGGAAATAATTGGAGCCAATCTACAGAAGTGGTTCCCACCAATTTGAAATGGCATGTTTTGTTCTGTGCCAATACTGTTTAGCAGTACCCAACTCATATCATGAACCAGTACTTCATACAACTAGATATTCACTGGAAGATTCACATACAAGCAACAAATACATAGTTCGATCCTTTTGATTCTTATCGGTCTAGTAAATGGCGTTCTGGTGCAATATGTCGAATTACTATATAAAGAACACATTTAAGCAAAAGCAAATCTTGAATTCTTGATTAAAAATACCTATATTTACCCAGCCCAGTGGATACGATCTGCTCATGGTAAGAGAACATATGGGTTTGATATACTCTTATGAATTATGGCAATCAGATAAACGGTCTTTTCTCACTTTGGTAAACAGAACCCAGTACAATTTGGAGAGGGACCAGTTTCCTCTTTATGGAGACAATGAGATTCTTGAATTATGGACATGCTCTAAACTATCTTTGAAACAAAAAGTAGAATATTCGAAATACTGAAGCGGAAAGTCATCACAATTTTTGTAGCCTTAGCATCTTCCTCTATATGTTCTGCAGCTTCTGCCCAGTTGCCTTATTTGATAGTGGTTTCTGTTCTTTTTTTTTTCCGTTTGACATGAATATGCATAAATATTCTTTGCTTGTCTATCGCTAGAAGATGGTTGTCTATTGCTATATTTTGTAGAAGATATGATGAATATGCTTTGCTAAATCATGACATGTATAAAATATGATAAGTTTGCCTACATGCATGGAAGAGGAAATTTATTAGTCGATAGTGCCCATTGCTAGGGTGAACAACTGAACTTACATGGTTCCACAGAAAACTCAATCTTCCTGTTTATTGAAGTTACTAATTAATATTCTGCATATTGAATGAAAATATCAGGTCAAGGATCTTGTTGTGAAAGAAAACCTGGTATTACATGAACGGCGAATTAGTCTATCTGAATTTCATGCTGCAGATGAGGTTAGATATTTTATGTCATGGACATTTTCATCTTGTCCTTCTACTGAGGTTTTTTGCTTCGCAACTGTATAATATCCTTTATACTGAAATGTGCACTTATCTACTAAACTAAACAAGATAAATAGCAGAAGTATGTTTTAAACTACTAAGCATTTTTCTTTTGAGAAAACGCAAAGGTTTGCGTCTCTATGCATTGATAGAAAAAGAATGTTAGGGCATCTCCAACGCGGACAGCGGGTTTGGTGGAGGCCATCCAAGAGGAGTCACCTAATATAAAGCGGATACAGATTTTTCATTGATTTCAGGGTTACAGTTTACATAGCAAAAGATCCCTAGAACAACTAAAAAAAACAACTATTCTAATCTACCCCCTGTAAGAGGTGAGGTTGAGGAACCCCGTGCCGGATGGTCTGGTCTCGTCGTCGTTGGCGGCCAGCGCGGACGAGGCGGAGCTGACGACGATGTCAAAGAGGCCATCCAAATTTGTGTGGCCTTGTTGACGACGATGCCAAAGAGGCGGAGCACGGACAGCGGGCAGGGCGGAGGCCATCTATGGAGGCATCGTCATCATGCTGCTCCGGCATGAACGAGGCAGGCATCGTTGCCGTTTTGTTCTGGTGCGTTCTTGTCCTCCGTCTCCAGCTCCTCGAAGAGGCAGTCGTGCTCCGCCTTGTTGACGCGAAAAGAATTTAGCGAAGGCCGCCATGAAGTCAGCCTTCACCGTCCCCCAACATGATTGGAGGGACTCCGCAGTGAAACCATTGGGCCCTGGTGCCTTCTCCCAAGAGAGCTGCGCACAACCTCCCAAGTCTCTTCCTCGGTAAGTGGCGCCTCAAGGTCAGCAAAGTCCTCCACCCGAGAACCAAAGAAATCAAGATCCCGGGACAACTCACGCTCCTCTGAGGAACCCAGAGGGAGAGGAAGCGATCAAACGCAGCTTGAGCCATGGCTGCATGGTCAAAAACCACCGCACCATCAACCTGTAGATTGTGGATCACGTTCTTCCGCTTCTGATATGAGGCATGCAGGTGGAAGAACACCGTGTTGGCGTCACCCTCCCTAACCCAGGCGATCTTGGCCCACTGGCAAGCCATGGTGTGCTCGAGGGAAGCCAAGCCCAAGTAGGCATGCTTGAGGCAGGCTTGAAGCTGGCACTCCGTAGCGGAGAGAAACGGGACTCTGCCGCCACATCAAACCGAAAAATGAGCTCGCAAGCCATCATGAGCTGCACCCGGACGCAGCCCACCTTCTTAGGCTGGTCATAGTGGGAGTAACTTAGCTTGTAACATAACGTACCCCAAGGCAAAATGAGTCTACATCTAAATAAATGAAGGCTTGCATGATACCACATATATGTTACTACCCACTATGAAGGTAGTAACACAGACTAGTAACATATTACTAGTCTAAGTTACTTCCCACTATGACTAGCCTTATAGCTCCAACTCATCAGCTGGCAAGCCGTGGATTTGAGTCTAGCCGTAATGCGATGATAGGGGTCCGGCTCCCCGAGAGCCACAGTCCAGGCTGTGGCCACCATCTCCCCTAATCCATCCATCTTAGTCCAGAACCGCTTGAACTAGAATCGGCGGTGGCCCACAGGCGGTGCCGAAAAGTCGAGGAGTAGAGGACAGTGGTCGGATATCACAGTGGGGAGACACTACAACCAGCAGTTTGGGAGGAGGTCCTCCCAATCTATTGTGTAGAACACCTTGTCGAGCTTCACCAAGGTGGGGGCACCACACTCATTCAACCAAGTGTAGCTCCTTGAGCTTGCAGTATTTAGGAAGCGTCTAAACCTTCCCATCATGTGACTGTGCAGGTAGTCATTGCTCTTGTCTTCGTCATGGTAAATCATGTTGAAATCACCACAAACAACCTAGGGACCTGGCCGGGTAAATCACCCATCTCGCAGCTCGGCAAGGAAAACAATCCTCTCTGTGTCCTCCTGTGGTCCGTAGACACGAGTCAGCCACCAAGAACCTCCCCTCGAAGGGGGAGACCAAAACCGAGACGCTGTTGTCGCCCAGGTGGACATTGCACAGCTTAACTGTGCGACCTATCCACGCAACTGTAATAATCCCCCATGAGTGTCAGTAGCCAGCAAGCAGAATAATCATCAAAATCCGCGCCAAAGTCTTCCATAACTATAGTAGGGGTTACAACTGCCAACTTAGTCTCCTGCAAACAGACAATGGAAGTGCCTGTTGAACTGACGAGGCTCCGAACACCCATACACCGAGCTCGATTATTGAGCCTGCGCACATTCCACACTAACATCTTAGGTTCGTATAACATTGGGACGATGTGGACACACGAGAGATGAGGTTAGTATGGTCAGACCTCAATGACAATGAGGCTACCGCCCACCAGCCAAACATGTCGAACGAGAACTTTGAGGCGGCAGACATTTGTTATCAAGTTTTGAAGTTCGACCACTTCTAAGTTAGCAATTACTAAGCATTTTAAGATTTTGAAATTACTTATTTTCCTTTTTGTGCAGGTTTTACTTTCCTCTTTAATGTTAATAAATCTAAATGATGCTATAGCTATAGTTATAGTTATAAGTTTCAGTTACATGACATATGCGTGTGTAGAATAAATCGTGCAAATTTGGCTGTTTCTTTTAGAAGAACTTCAAAATTAACACCTCTCCTTTTTTATAAACTACCATAATAAGGCAGGCTGCATACTTTCAACTACTACAGTAAGTTAAAATACACTATTTATTGCCCTGGTAATGTGGTTTTTCACATGCAGGTGTGGACAACCGGAACAATGGGTGAAATTACACCGGTGAGCTGACTTTTTTGCACTATATGGTCATGTTTTTCTATCCATTTCTGTACTGCCACCATGTTGGAGTTAATATTGTTATGGCTTGGACAAGAAGATGCAAGACATCTCTAGTATGGCAGTGAGCGTAGTCAAAAAGAAAATTGACTGCTACTCCCCCCGTTCCTAAATATTTGTCTTTTTAGAGGTTTCAAATGGACTACCACATATGGATGTATATAGACATATTTTAGAGTGTAGATTCACTCATTTTGCTCCGTATGTAGTCACTTGTTGAAATCTCTAGAAAGACAAATATTTAGGAACGGAGGGAGTAGTTGTTTAGTGAGTAAGAAAGAGCTGCAGCAAGTAGTAGTAAAAGCAAAGTTTAATACGCAAGGAAGCTACTCCATCCGTCTCGGTGCATAGGGCATGCGCGTAGTTGTAGGTCATCAATTTGACTAACTAATAATGTGCTATATGTCATCAAAAGCATATCACTGGATACATATGCGAATGTAGTTTCTAAATATATTTTTTGTTACATATAATACAAATATAGCGAGTTAAATTGATGATACATGCCCTATGCACAGGGAGTAGCTAGGCATTAGTAGTGTCCAGTTCGATACTGTAGCATGGTGGTGTCTGAACAACGCTGTATAAACCTCTATATAAGGAGGGGCACCCCATATGGAGAGAATCTAAGTAGCAAGCCAAGATAGAGTGCAGCGTTTTATAGGACGGGCTCCAGGGAGCTCTCTTTTTTTAACAAAATATATTTAAAAGTTTCAGAAAAAAATCTTTTTTTTTCTACAAATGCGTATACATGTTCTCTAAGTATATGTATATTTTCATAAAATAATACGATTATTTGCAAGTTACGCAAGACACAAAAATCTGGCCCAAATACAACAAAGCAAAAGCCCATTTCAATCTATGTATTTGTCTTTTTTGTGTACATCACATATGAACATATATGTTCATGAAAATTTTGTATGTATACACTACACATATATATTTGTGTATAATTTTTTTCAGATTTCTTTGAGGTGTAGAAAATGTTTTTAAGCTGAAAAAAAGGGACTCCCTAAACCCCGGCCACCAAATGCACTTTCCGGCCAAGATGTAGTAGCAAGCCTTTGTGTCAGGATGTAACACATATGTACGTGTGTCATGCATGTGCGTATAAGAGAAGTGCGTGTAAGGATGTAGCCTCACAGCATGTGTTGCTGATGAGCATCATGTGAGACAATGCATTTGTTGCTCAGGCAGGTCTCTTCCCTGCCTTCCCATCTGTTCTACCTGGTCATGTGGGTGTGTGGGTGTGTCCACCAACAATAAGCTGAGAGATTGAGAAAGGGCCGCGCCCAACATTTGGTATAGGTTGTGACCAATACCCCAGTGATTTGTTTAATTTTGAAATGAGTACAGATTAGGCAACATTTCAATGCGACTTCTATGAACAGATCAAATGATCAAAATTTCCCTGTGATGTGTTATGCAACTCATGGTTTGGGCATCCTAGTTTGTTTTACAGGAACTGTCCTGTTCAAGGAAAAGTATTTTATGATTCTAATTAGATGGCCACTATTCTGATTTGCAATAGGTTGTGATGATTGACGGGCGTGAAATTGGTGATGGGAAAATCGGTCTGGTCACAAGACAAATCCAGAGCGCATACAAAGTCCTGACAGCAGGGTTGGGAGTAACAATTCCCAGGAATGCGGAGGCATAATCATTTGCGCAGACATTCTTCTTGTCCTTTTGAAAAGGAGAAGGCACCTATTATCTATGGACAAACTTTCAGGGTTCAGTTTCGAGTAATGATAATAAATACCCCTCCATCCGGAATTACTTGTCGTAGAAATGGGTAAAAATGAATGTATCTAGAACTAAAAATACGTTTAGATACATCTATTTCTCCGACAGGTATTTCCGGATGGAGGGAGTAGTAGCTAGCGTTCAAAGAAGCACCCAGTGAAAGTGGCACACCGGACAGAAAACTGAGTATTCGAAAAATACTGGCTGGGTCTGTGAATTCATGATTTACTGTGTGCCTGTGTGCGCCGAACCTGTGGCTGATCCTGGACACAGAACAGAAAATAGAATATTATATGCGGTTTTATTTTCTGCTTGATTTTCTTCGATCCATCGATCAATTTACTGGAACTATGATGATGTTGTGAAGTCCGTGCACATCCATGGTACCAACATATACCAACTATCACATGCTTCTCCCTGTCTCCCAGCTTTCCAAGTAATGCTGGGAAATGGCAAAAGGGAAAAACACAAGGAGGTGTTTGGATTAGACGATGGTAACGCAAACGGTAAGGGAGTTAGATCACGCTGGAAACAGGGAGGGGAGGTAATGGGCAAATACCTGTTTTGTTTCGTTCGTGCCTGTAAAGGAATCGAGTTACGGTGAGGAAAGAGAGCACACAAGGGACGGGAAAATGGTGGTCGCCTCAATTTCTCACCTTTTCTCCCATGTCGTTTCCAGCTGCGCATGCGCTCACAGAGCTGGGAGGCACCTTTGGCCGCTCCACCATTGCCGACCACATCGCTGGCTGCTTCACCGGCCTCCCAGTCAGCTACTACACACTCCTCTCCGGCCTCCACCGCCTCATCTAGGCCATGGATGCCAGCGGAATACGCAACGAGAGAATCAAAGCCGCAGCCACCGCCGCCGATGTCAGGCACGCTCACATTCGGTTAAGACAGACTGAGGTTCCGTTAACGGACAGACCAGATCAAGTGCAGCCATGAAGATCCAACGGCTCGCATTCGCTCGCCTAGTTACTGTAACGTTTCACCATCACTTTCTACTGTTCATCTTCTACCATTGTCGGGCTATACAATAGCCTCCGCCGAGCGCCGCTAACTCATTCCCCATTTCGTATTGTTTCCCTTATCTAGATCTGAACCCTAGCTCGAGTTCATCCCCAAATCCCTTGATCCACTACTTTGGGGCATGACAGCCTATTCGACTATACGGAGAGGACCGACGTCGTCGCTGGTCCGGTGACGTGACTTGTTTACGGCGATGATGGGTAATATTGCTTGAACCAAACACATCCTCAAGTGATCTGACACGAACACGGGTTGGAAATGGTACGACGAACCACAAGTTACATCACAGAGATCCAGAGTTCCCGACATAGCAAAGCCACTTCGATAGAAACCTGAGTTCCTGATACCAAGCTAAGCTAATCACGGAAACATACGGATAGTGGATGCCTTACTCAACGTCATTCCAACAAGCATCCTAGCGATGGCCCAAAAACATGTCATACACAGCGCCACATAACCAGCAGTCCCTTCACTTCCACCACCATAGACGATGAAACCTGCCGATAAATTAAGCTCAGTTCAGTGTAACACTCTGGAGGAGCACTTCTGCCAAAATATGGGATAGCAAGATTGCTAGAAGAACAGCGAATTACTCGATCCAATTGTACCAGATTTTGTGGCAAAGGGCCCGAGTACATTTAGATAATATTTCAGCTGGTCTTGGACAAGGTAATTGAGCACTTCAAATGAATGAAGTAAACAAAATATTTCCCTAAGTAATTAGCACACTTACTGGCATATACAATAGTATCTTCCCAGCTAGTAATCTTGATCAAGACGGCAAGCCTTGAAGATGAATTGCAATGTTCCAAATATGTTTAAAGGAGATGGGACCTTGCAGATTTGCAATAGTTACATGACTATAAGAACTTCCATAAATATTAAGTGGTGTTTATTCGTGCATTCCTGGATAAGACATGCCTCATCCACGCCCTAAAGGGTAACATGATGATGGCTAATTAGACACTTTATTAGTTGCTGTAACTCTTAAAGCTCTTTTTAACACTTGAGGGATATCCATGCCACATGGTTTGATGCAGCAAGGATGAAAATTAAGGACGATATCCCACAATGTCATTTTACACATAGTATAAACTGAAAGAAAAAAATACCTCATGTTATGATGGGTGAGAATCTTCTCATCAAACCTTTCTGTGCTTCTTGCGCTTTTCCGAGCCAGATACAGCTTGTGCACATGGATCATCTTCAGGAACGTTGGTCGCTCCTTGATCCGCAGTTAGACCAGCAGCTTCACCAGCAGGCACAAATTTTATAGGAGTAATTGCATTTGTTGGAGCATTGCAGTTTTCCTGGCTTACAACTCCTCTTTCTTTGTTGAACCCAGAAGATGTGATGGCAATGATAAGCTCTTTCTTTGATCTGACAATTTGATGCATACAAGTGTTCTTTGTAGCTGCAACAACATAGTGAATAATTAGTTCTACTCCTAAAAGCCTGCTACTAATTCCAAATACAATAAATGACTGGGTATGCAATATCATTCTTGTGTTACAAAGTTCATTT